TATAATCCAAGACATATACAATCCCCATTCTATCAGGCAAAAACCACACCCAACACGCTATATGAAATACAATTTCCATTTATTTCCCCCCCAGAGAACTTTTCTTCACTCTTTGAAGACTCAGCTCCTTACATGGGCTTTGGTGGAGGTCGTGGGGCAGCACCCTGAAAGACAAAGGAATGAAAGAGTAATTAAAGACTGTCCCCTCAAAGAACCTGACCATCACTCTCCCATCACGAACAATGTATTTGGGCCATAAGTGCATGGAAAACTGATAGATGTGAAAGTAGACCACACTACTCATTCCAAAAAAATTCTAACTCTCTTCTAAGAAATGTTTTAGGTGTGGGTCCCACCTACCTCTTCAGACTTAGCTGACCTCACCACAGGCGGACTTTAATTTGACAACCCTTGGTTTGTACACCACCCCTCTGGTGTCCACATCTCCTTTTTGGTACTTACCGCAGGTCTAAATCGGGGTGGGGGTGTTCGGTCCTTCCGGGCTTCACGAGAACGATTCCTGACTACCTTGCTGTGAATGGCACAGCTCACACAGTAATGCAGCTTCACATACAGCTTGGGAAGCACATAGGCTAAGATGGAAAAGGAACAGAATATTAAATGCACGTAAATGCCTGTCAGCATACCTACACCATTTCACTCCCAAGTTCAGTTTCTGATGCCTAACTAAACACATGCAATTTCACAAACGAGTAACACTCTAATTCTTCCTATCGCCACGGGAACCACGCCCACATCCTAGGTAAACCAAACACCCCGCTCCTTCAGCAGCTGCACCAGCCCCAACACCTACTCCTGGGCACTTTCTGGTTGCCTAAATTTTAGGCCCTAAAAAAAAAGCCAACTTGGCCCAGCCAGTTTGGCTCAGTGGATAGAGCGTCAGCCGGAGGACTGAAGGTCCTGGGTTCGATTCTGGTCAAGGGGATGTATCACGGTTGCAGCCTAGATTCCCCAGCTCTGGTCTGGGCGGGAGGCATCCAATGGATGAGTCTCTCTCACATCGATGCTTCTCTTTCTGTCTCTCCCTAAAAACCTATGGAAAGCCCGGCCGGCGTGGTTCAGTGTTGACCTATGAACTAGGAGGCCACAGTTTGATTCCTGGTCCAGGCATATGCCCGGGTTGTGGGCTGGATCCCAGTGTGGGGCGTGCAGGAGGCAAGCGATCAATGATTCTCTCATCATTGATGTTTCTCTCTCCCTCCCTCTCTGAAATCAATAAAAATAATGTCCCCGGGAGAGGATTAACAAGAAAAATCCAATTTGTCTTAAGAAAAAAAAAAAAAGAAAAAAAAAAAAGACAATTTATCATATTGCCCCAGAAACACCTTTGGTGACCAATCCAGACGGCCTCCTACTTGAAACATTCTCCCAGACTTAGTCTGTACGTTTCCACAACAGGCACTCAAACAAAACCAGTGCAAAGGGACTGTTCAGTGTACAGTGCGGCCTTGACTTACGAGTTTAATTTGTTCTGAGACCGAGCTCGTTAACTCAAATTACTCTGTCAACTCAATGCAAAAAATCGGCCGAGAGACAGCTGGTATCTCAAAAAACTCGTTAGTCGGGACACTCGTAAGTCAAGGCCCCACTGTACTATGCTTGTAGTTATTGCTCCCCAAACACTGCTACAGAACAAGTTCTGGAAGTGCTTTTGGACTCCCATTCCCTTAAAAAAACGCCCCGTTTTCTTCTACTGGCAACAGTCTTAAAGGTGTATAACCCGCAGGGGATGCTCCCGTGAACTCGGCCCCGGGGTACAGGGTAGGCGTCAGGGAGCCTGCAGATCACGCCGGGGGCTTACCGTCGAAGACACTCGCTTCGGAGATGTCCCGAACGGCTGCGGCCTCCACTATGTTTCGGATGACAAACTTCTTAATGGCCTTGTCCTTGGGCACGCACCGGGCGCAGTTGGTGCAACGAATAGGCTGCACATGGCCTCGGCCTTTTTTGGCACGACCGTTATTCCTTCTTTTCTTGGTCTGCACGAGGATAAAAACCTTGTTAGGAAGGAGGTGCAACCTACCCAGCCTCGGCCCCTACCGGCTACATTCCACACCAGCCGCCCAAGGAAGACGCCAGTCACATCCCCAGTTCCTCCGCAAATCTCTCTCCAAGCCCGGGGTAAACACACACTCCGCCCGCTCCTCCTTGGACCCGGCTCCCAAATCCCCCACAGTCGGGATCTGCTCCCGTCAACCTCACCCAGACCGCCAGCTCCCCACGCGCCCGCACTCACCATCTTGGAAACGAGGATCCGAGAGAGGATCCGGCGCCCGGCCCGCCTCCCTTATATAGCGCGAGATCCCTCCACTCACACCGGAAGAATCCTTAGTTGACGAACGGCAAGAACGGCAACCCACCTTACTCAAATTTTCTTTATTATTGAGGGTTTATGCTGAAATCTAGGGCAGAAAGGCATTTCTCAAGTTTATTTATCGGTGGCACAAGGTGACCATGGGACTATTTTTCCTGATGGCGGAAGAAAATTAAAGTTATACGTCTCCCAGCAGGCACTGCGACGCCCTACCCCGGAAGTAATTTTGGGCGGTACAATTAATCTGGTTTTGCGACGCTAAAAGCGGAAGTTGCCTGGCGCAAGATCACAAATCGCGCTGCCAATTAGAGGCCAGATGGGAAGAGATGCATAATGGGAGTTGTAGTGCGAAGCTGACAGGCCTTTTGCCCCAAGCACTTAGACCCTGGACGGCTCTACGCCTCCGGGGGACGCTCTCGGCTCACTTCTCTGACAATCCTACTCCTTGGTGTAGGATTGAGAAACGGAGGACCTGGGCGCGGGGGGAACAAAACATTTTGTTAACTACTCCTCTTTCCAATATGGAGAAAAACCCACAATGAGGGGCCAGGGACAAGTGCATTGTTTCTCATTCACCTTTTTATTCTCGGATCCTCTTAGCACAGTGCCAGACACTGTAGTAAGTGCTTTATAAATATTAACTCATTTAATCCTCAACAACTCTATAAAGCAGGTACTATTATTATCCTCACTTTACAGATAGAACCGAGGAGTACTGTAGAGCGGTTAAAACTGAGGTTGCCCAAAGTCACACAGAGCTAGTAAGAGGTGTCCTGGCTCCACTATACCGCACTGCTTCTCACCCAACCAACAGTGGATGGACAGCCTGGACCAGCGCCTTAAATAATGTTGACTCAGACTCAGAGTAGAAATACATAGTAGAAATATATGGTACTCAATACTTACACAAATACACACACACACACCCACAACTGAAACAAACTTTATGAAATACCCTTTTGACATAAAGGTGCTCTGGTATATTCAATTTTTAAAAAAGAAATGCTGACCAAGCTCCACTAAAGTGATTTTGCCTCATTGATGAGTCTGACCCCTGACTGAAACACACTTAAAAAATTATATTTATATATTTCAGAGAGGGAGACAGAATCATCAATGATGAGAGAGAATCATTGATAGGCTGCCTCCTGCACATCCCACACTAGGGATTGAGCCTGCAACCTTGGCATATGCCCTGACTGGCAATCAAAAGGTGACCTCCTAGTTCATAGGTCGACACTCAATCACTGAGCGACTCTAGCTGGTATGTATATGCTCCATTTACCTCTTAAGAGCCTTCAGAAAATCCTTAGCTTTCAGCAGGAGTGGCTATCTATGGGCAGCCAAACACCTAGGTGTCTCCAAAATTGGAGAAACTAGAATGTCAATGGGACCTACCAGCATTCAGACCCAAGATGATATAGAGGGAGACCAACTGTTCATTTATTCAAGAATCATTCTGGAGTCTGAATACACCAGACTCACTTTCCCTCCAACAACACATCATGGTTTCTCCTAATCTCTAACCCACTTTAGTGGGGTCGAAATTTATTTTATAACTTTTTAAAATATATTTTTTATTGGCTTCAGAGAGGAAGGGAGAGGGAGAGAGAGATAGTAACACCAATGATGAGAGAGGATCATTGATTGGCTGCCTCCTGCACGCCCCCTACTGGGGATGGAGCCCGCAACCCAGGCATGTGCCCTTGACTGGAATCGAACCTGGGACCCTTCAGTCCACAGGCCGATGCTCTATCCACTGAGCCAAACCAGCTAGGGCTTGTTTTCTAACTTTTGATTTGGCTTCAAAACAATTTTATTCATAGTCTCTATTTTGAATTTGTTAGTTTCAATGGAGAATGGAAAATGATAGACTCTAGATGGAAGTGTCTCCAATTTTTACTTTAGTAGTCTCATGGACATAGGAAGGCAAACACTACCATATGAAATGGCAGTGAGGTAGATAGGAGGAAAAAAAATTCAGAGTGAAGGGAACAGAAAATAGTTAATATGTATTTAGGTCAGAACCAACTTAATGTGCCTATGTTGGCTTTTCTTGGGATTTTTATGGACTTTTCATTGGCTGCATTCCCTGGCAAAAGGGATGGGCACACACTTTGGTCACACACCTCTGGTTCACATCCAGGTTCTGTCACTCATTGGCTGATGAGTCTTAGATGAGTTATTTATTCTCTTGGGCTTTTATTTCTTCCCTGGTAATGGTGATCATTTCTTTGTAGGTTGTTTCTACAATTAAACAGGTACTTGGCACAGTGCTTGGCATTTATGAGTGCTCAAGAAGTCATTATCATCGTTCATGTTACTATAACTTGTCCTTGAGCATATAATGTGTTTTGCATACAGTAGGTACTCAACAACAAATGTTTGATAAATTTCTGCTTTGGATAGATAGGCATGTTGGGCTTTCTTTCCTACCCTGCAGGCACTTCTGGTAGGAAAATCTCTTCTACTTCCCATTCTAGGTTGAAAATTCTTCTGTTCTTCTGTAGCAACAGCTTGAGTATTCTTGTTTGGTTTCCTCTCAATCTTAGACTTATTTACTTTCAAAATGTTTAGTAGTTAGTACAACATGCTACAAATATCTCCGCCCTCCCCACCCCAAGTAGAAAAACAAGGCAAAGGAAATCTGCAAAAACAACCAGGGTGTTAAATTACTCATGTTTATTTGTAACAGACCTTCAGCCAGTACAGTACAAAACTTACAGTAGTATATCTCCATTACACAAATATTTACTTACAATATATTACATATACAAAATGCTTTGCAATAAGTCTCAAAAGCTAGTTTAACTCCCCTTGAGAAAGGAGAAAAACTCTTTAAAAAGGGGGCAGGGCGGGGGAATCAGAGGAAGAGGAGATGAAGGGATAAGGTCCAAGGAGACACCAAGCATAGGCTACAAATGAAACCCTGGGAGAGAGAGAGAGAGAAGAGAGGTGGTATTGCACTTGCTTCTGTGTTTTTGTTTTTTTTTTGTTCTTCATAACTTCTAATTAAAAATATATATAATATATATTATTTACACAAGGACAGAAGCTGCCAGAAGTATTACAAAATCCCACCTGCAGCTTGGACACTGACACGAGAAAACAAAGATCTGGAAAAGTGTCTATTTAGAAACTCTTTTGTGTGTGTGGTGTTAATTTGAATATCAATATAAAAGGAAAACACCTCTTTTCTCCATGTGGGTTTCCATGTATTTTTTTCTTTTTTCATTTTTTTTTTTTATGCAAAAGGAGCTGGGAGAGAGAGCATGAGAGTGTTTGAGTTTCCAGAGCTGAAAGGCTCCAGAAAGTAGGATTTTGTACCTAAGACCCTGGTTAAAGTGCAGTGATGGTCTGGAGAGAGACAGACTGCCCTTCTCTCCCTCCTTAGCACCTGGTCTTGCCTTCCAGTCTCTGCTCTCATGGGCTCAGAGCACAGCCTCAGAGCACAGGCCTTCATGTTCCAGGAGGTTATAGGTGCCAAATCTGACGGGGGGAGGAGATGGTGGCACCCTAAGGCTCTGATACCCCAGAAGGGACTAGTCCTTATGAGGTGTTACCAAAGATACAGCAGACACAGAAGAGGTGGTAGGTCTAACAGGAAGGGGTTCAACAATCGGAACAATTGAGGAGAACCCGGATATTAATCTCATCTCTGCTGCCATCCTGAAGAAAGGAGCCAGTTCCCATGTTGCTGATGAGAAAACTCTCCCCTTCTCTAGAGACCACTCTCCTCCCAGATAACTCCCCCGTCCTCTGCCCTTGGCAGCATCTGTTCATTGCTACCTTGTCAAGGAGGAAAGATCAACCCACAGTGCCCCTCCCTGACAATCTGGTTCTCTGGGAGAGACCACATGATGGGGGAGAAAAAGAAGGAAGAAGAGGAGAAATGTTTTTAGTGTCTTCCTTCTCCCAAGAGGGTAAGGTGGACTCTTCTCAGAGCCCCAATCCCAGGGTCTGTTCCTTAGCCAATCCTTTAGCAACCCCCAGTTCATCCCTGATAGGGAGTGAGAGAAGTAGGAGGCAAAAGAGCCAATAAGGAAGGACATGTGGAAAGAAAGATGGAAAGGAAGAAAAAGGAGAGAGAAGGAGCAAGTGTTACAACTTGTGAGGTGTTGTGTTTGGTTTTCTACTTTTTTTTTTCTTCTTTAAATATAGAAAAACAGCCTTTGGTTTGAATCTCGAGGAAGCAGAGAATGGATGGCTGTGGCCTTGGGCAGGGAACTCTGGTAGAGAGACCTCCACTTGCAGTGGAGCTGTGTCTCCTCCTGCCCCTTCTCGCTAACCAGTTACCCAAATAGCCAGGGTCCCTGCAGTAGCCAGGAGGAGGGTGCCCCTCCTGCCCTACATCTGGGAGCTGAGTGTAGAAGGGGGGCAGTCACAGGTGGCCCCCTTTTAGTTGTGCCCATCCCATTCCTGCTGGGACAAGAGTGGGACAGGGTAAGGGGCACATGCCCTTGCTCGTCCTGGGATAATTTTTGGTTACACTGAAAATCAGAAGAGAGAAAAGAGGCACTCTTTCCTCCCGAGGGTGAATCCTGCTGGGTGGGGAGAGAAGAAGGCAGTGTGACCGAGGGGCTGAGATACCCCCTTGTCTTCAGGCAGCAACCCACTGGTTTCTCATAGGACGGGGACTGCAGGAGTCCCTGAGAGCCTAGGGAGGTCACTAGAGTGAAGAAGTTTGAGAGGTGGGAGAGTAAGGAGAATTTTGAACGACCTCCTTCCCATGCCCTGGTTCCCAATTAGGCACCTGTGGCTCCCAACGTGTCAGAGACAGAGGATGCAGACCTAGCCTTTTGGCCCCTGAGAATATAAAATTGGGGCACTCCAAGGAGATAAAAGCTACCACCGAGTAGACTGGCAGGTTGAAGCAAGTAGAGCAGTGTTGGGGGTTGTTCGAGAAGAGGGAAGAGATATATCACATCCTAGAGGGAATCCTGAATGTGGGCTTTGGGGAACTCATGTTACCGGGGGGCGGTCAAGACCCTCAGTCCCACAGTGACTGGGGAGGACGTCTTCAGCCCCTCCTACTTCCAAATGAGGGAATTCTTCCTTTGTTTAAGAAAAGTGCAAGCTGCCTAATGTGAGAGGGCACAAGAGGTATGGAGTCCCGGGCTGAAGGGTCCCAGCGAGGAGATAGGATGCCACAGAGCTAAGGTAGGGCCAGAGGGAGCTATCAGCATCGAAACGGAAGCATCACACAATGCAAAAGTGAGGACTGAACGCAAGAAGTTCAAGGTCTCTTAGTACGAAGAGGAGCTTCCCACCCCAGGGGCTGTTGGAGAAAGCCAGAACAGAGAGAGAAAAATTAGGCCTAACGGGGGAGGGGACTGTGAGCAAGAGGATGGAGGAGTGGCAAGTGACGGACAGAAGTTAAAAAATGCAAAAGAAAAAATCAGCTAATTATATTAATAAATAACTCTGAGTATGCTGGGATGAGAAGTTAAGAGAAAAAGGAGAAACATAAGCAAAAACCTGTTTCATCACGATGCTTGAATCAGTCAGGGGGAAGAATAGGTGAGAAAGATTCAGGGTCAAGTGTGAAGTTAGGTAGCCAGTGGTGGGGCTACACAGCACAACTTCTTGGGATGTGGTGGGGACAGGGCTAGACTCCTGTAGGTGGGGCAAGGGAGTGGCGAACTGAGGGGAGGGCAGTGGGCTGCTAGCCCACCTTGTGCTCCCCCCGGACAATGTGGGAAGAGAATTCATACCGGTCCTGGCTGTGGTAACCACAGATGTTGCACTCGAAAGGGTCTCTGAAGCCATGGCAGCCCATGTGGATGGTGAACATGACATGGTCCAGGAAGAGGATGCGGCAGTGCTCACACTTGAAGGCCTTCACGGGCTCACCGCTCTCGCCCACCACCCGGAGCACTTCCTTCGAGGGGCCTGGGGTGCCCCGCAGTAACCCCTCCTGTGGCTTGGGGTCCTCTTTGGCGTAGGCAGGACTGGGCCGGCCCACCACAATGGTGGGAGGTGGCTGGGGTGGGGGACCCTGAGGGAGGGATACCACCCCCCCAACCCGATCTTCGTGGTTGCTCTCTGTATCTGTGGAGTCTTGGCACCCATTGCTGGGGGATGCTCCAGGGTCAGTAAGGGGGCCTCGGGCCCGGTAGAGGAGGGGACCACCATCAGCCAGGTCCTCGGGTCCCTCACCTGCTTCTCGGGATCCTGGAAGCTCCAGTCGACCGGGGAGGGGCTGCATCTGGGTGTACACAGAGCTGATGACGGGAGTGAGTTCTGAGATGCAATTGGTAGGTGGAAGGCGGAGGGGACGCAGGTGCTCTGCCCCCACAAAGGCCAGAGAACCTCCAAAACCAGGCTCCAGGCCGTGATGTGCCACGAGCTCCACATCCTTCTCATAGCCACCCGAATTCACATCGTAGGGGAGGTCCGAGAGGCTGAAGCGCATCTGCTTCTCACCTGTGGAGAAGAGGCTCTCAGCAGAGCTGGGCATGGAAGATTCCTGAGCTCCCCAGGATGATGCCTTTGTTTTCTTACCCATAAGGATGGCTATAACATGATTTACCACTCTTCATTTACTTCCCTGGAGGTTAGGTCCCTTGTGGGGCTGCTCTCCAACTCTAGGTTATAATCTTAGAGGTCTCAGTCCCGGGCCACTGATCTTTATCATTCTTGCATTATCTATATCTATATATATAAAAGCCTAAGCAATGGTAATGACCAAATGACCAGAACAACCGGAACGACTGGTCAACCAGTCGCTATGACACGCACTGACCACCAGGGGGCAGACGCTCAATGCAGAAGCTGCCCCCTGGTCGTTAGTGCACTCCTACAGCCAACCTCCCACGGCCGGCAGCGGCAGTGAGGGTGTCTGGCCTCTGTTTCTTCTGCGCCCGGCCTGGCGAACCATTGCCTCCTCTCCTGACCCTGCTGGGGCCTTTGGGCCTTGAGCTGGAACAGGGAACCGGGGGTGGGTGGCAGTGGACATGGCCCCTTTCCCAGGGGGGCCGAGGGCCGGCTCCCTCCTCGAAACCAGAAGCCAACCTCCTGAGCCCCGTTTCTCCCTTCGGCCAGCAGGCCCCAATTGGCCCAGCCCTGATTGGCCCTGATTGCCGGCCAGGCCTAGGGACCCCACCTGTGCACCTATTTGTGCACTGGGCCTCTAGTTCTCTATAAAGCTCCAGGTCCTTGGAGAGCTGGGCCAGGTGAGGTCCTCATACTCGCCTCTTCCCTCTGACTCAAAGGGCCCAGGTCTCAGTCCCCACAGACTTAAGTCCTTGCTATTCTCAAAAACTGGGAGAACCCTGACACCCTCTTCTAAAACCACCACATGAGCCCTCAACACTAACCCCTTCCACCCTCTCGAGGTACTTTCTCCCTCTTCATTCTGCTCCTATTTTGGGGATAGATTCTGAGGACCAGACTGCTTTCTTTCCTTCAATCAAATCTCCAGACCCAACTGGTCTAATGGCCATCAGAGCTCAGATACAGATGAGCTATGGCTTAAAGCTGATGTCTCCTCTACCACTGGACTCTTACCTACAAACTTCTGGGGGGTGGAACGCTTGCGTTTGGTGAGGCTGTTGGCCAGACGATCAATGAACGTGGGCCTCTCAGAGGATGAGTGCAGCATAGAGTCTGGCACCATCTCCAGGTCACGTATCTCATCACCTAGTGGGGGGAGGTGGGGACAGGGAGTAGCAGCTGAGGAGGAGTAGCACTGGCCCAGCAGCCTTCTCCTGGAGAAAACCAGCAGGTCAGGAGCCACGGAAGGTCATACCTGATGCTTGGGAAATTAGGTCAGCTTACTTCACCCTATTTAAAGCTCATCCCAGCAACAGGTTAGATAATTTGGGGACAATTATATACATCTGACCCTCAATTTTATACTTCCTTGTAGTTTCTCTCTCTCCCATTAGACTAAGAACATAGATCAAATCCTCCCCTACCTCTGGGTCCTCCTGCAGCATTTACCAGGGGCTCTGCACTAACTGTGGTGCTCGGCACCCTAATTACTGAGGTAATTGTCCCTTCCCCATGGACCTCTCCCCTTGTGCAGGCAAGTGCTGGAATCACCCTTGTCCTGTACTCCCTCCCTCTGGCTCTGCCCTCAACTCCCCCATAGTCCTGCCCACAGCCCACCTGGTTGGCCGGCCAGAGCTTGGGCTTCAGTGCTGAGACTCTGCAGGTAGTTGTGGCACCGCTCCTTGTGCTCCTCCAGGGTACTCTGCTGCTTGTAGCTCCGGCCACAGTAGTTACACTTGTAGGGCTTACCCACCGTGGGAGAGGAGACTGTGCAGGAGAGAGGAAGCAAGTAGCATCAAGGTTACTTTTCCCAGTGCCCTGGCTCTACACAGCCATCTAGGAGCACAGGGACACTGAGGAGGAAGGGATCCTGCTCCATCGAATTCTTCTGCTTGTCTTCCCTTCCCCAACTGCAGCTGTGAGCATGGGCAGATGACCAAACCTCAGAGAAGAGGCACAATGGCAGCTATGGGAAGCGAAAGGGGACACCAGGTCATGTAGCACTGGATTGCTGATGAGACTCAAGATGGCCAAATGGCCCTAACCGGTTTGGCTCAGTGGATAGAGCATCGGCCCTCGGACTGAAGGGTCCCAGGTTTGATTCCGGTTGTAGGCTTGATCCCCAACCCTGGTCGGGTGGGGGTGGGAGGCAACCAATCGATGTGTCTCTCTCACATTGGTGTTTCCCTCTCTCTCTCTGTCTCGCCCCCTCCCTTCCACTCTCTCTAAAAATAAATGAAAAAAATATCCTTGGGTGAGGATTAACAACAACAACAAAAAAGATGGCCAAATTGCTGCTCAGAGGAAAGAAGAGCCCGGGGACTTGGTAGGGGATCATCCCTGACAGGCAGGCTGGCCCCACCCCAGGATCTCAGAGTCTGAGGCCCACACTGTGGTTTAACCTTTCCATGTGGCAGGCGGTGTCAGCGCTGTTTACCAGACAAGGGGATTTTTTGCTTACGAACTATCTGATTTGGTTTGGGGGAAACTGGTGGGCTGGGTGACAGAAATGAGAGTCCTTAGATCTGCTGATGTGGGGAGGGGCAGTTTTCACTGACCTTTGCTTGTCCTTTTTTACCTCTACTACTAGCTCAGTTTTGCTGCTTATTATTCTTTCTGTCGTTCTACATTGAGATACAAAGAGAGCCCAAGAAAAACCATCATCTGATGGAGAACTTTGAGAAGAGAAAAAGAATAAAAGAACAGAGAAGAAAACAATGGAGAAGATATAAAAAGAAGAGAACAACTTTGGAGGTGTTTTTTTTTTAAAGAACAGGAAATAAAGATTTTGTTTCTAGTGAAGAGAAAAGATTGGGAAGACTGAGATCGATACTTCCTTGAAAGACAACTTTTGAGAGACGATGTTTGTGAGAGGAGAGAAAAAAGTGAGAGAAACAAGGTATTGTATATTTTAATTTATGTGTCTTGCTACTACTGAGCAGGGGCTAGGAGAAGTATCTCCAGGGACCCCTCTCCCGTCCCATGCCTGACCTGGACCTTGACTCAACCAATCTACTACCATCTTGCTCTTGCTCGGTGTTTGTGGGATGAGATTAAAGTCACAGACCCCCATTGACCTAAGACTCTGATGTTAGGGAAATGTTTTAACATCTGAGAGGAGCCCTCTTTTTCTTACAGTGTGGGTTGTAAGAGAAAGCATCTATAAAGACGGGACCCAATAGTATATCCGTGTCTTCTTCTGGCCCCAATAATCTCCTACAGAACCTCCCAAACCCACCCCGACCCCTGCCTTGCTGTTGGTAAGATTTCTAGGGGCCAAGCCACCCTTGTTCCAAACCAGCAGGGGGGCCCCCTTTCCCCAGGACCTTGATGGGGTTCCAGTGAGGATGCAGAAAGAATAGCTCCGTGACTGGCAAATCTTTTCTTCTTTTTCAGTTTCCTTGTCAGCAAAATGGAGATAGTAACATCTACCTCGGAATTGTTATGAGGATCACATGAGGAGACAAGTGAAATGCTTTGTAGGTGACAAAGCATGGATCAATGATGCTCTTTCTCTCTGTTGTTCCTCCACATACACAGAGATAAAGAGGTCCCAGCTCCCAGGTGAGAGCAAGGTAGGTGGCTGGAAAGAGTAGAGGGTGGGGAGGTGATTACTTTGTCCCTTTAAATCCTGGCCCATGAGAGTTTAGGAAAAGAGAAAAATAGCAAAGAACGTTTCCAAGGACAGACCCTACTAATTCTTTACCCTCTGCCCTCCTTCCTCCTTTTCCCTGTCTTGAGCTCCCTCCTTCCTGCCAGCTCAGCTCCTGACCTTTTCCCAAGTCCAAGCCCAAAGCTCAAAACTTAGTAAAAGGCTTCAAAAGTGCTATCTGTCCAGCTGATTAGGCAGATGTTGATTCAGTCTGGGCTGGGCTAGAAAATCGAGTCAGTCCAGTTCCCGGGCACCGTTCCAAACCCTGAGCTCCAGGCACTGGCTCTTGCTCCTGGTCAGGTGGTGACCTCTTGGGATGGGGAACAGAAATGGGACCATCTTCGTAGGCTTCCTTTCCTCCAGTTTGGGAGGCCCGTGGATGTTTTCAGGAACCAGGAGGAAGTCAAGGAGAGGACAGAAGGGGGCATAGATGGTGACAAGTGTGGGGCCTGGGGCAGATATGAGGGAAGGGGGGGTCACCCTGGTGCTCAGAAGTGGGGGGTGATGGGGCACAGATGGTTCTGCATCAGCGTGACCTTTAAAAATATCAGGCCTGGCCTGGCTGGTTTGGCTCAGTGGATAGAGCTTCGTCTGCGGACAGAAGGGTCCTGGGTTCGATTTCGGTCAAGGGCACATGCCTGGGTTGCGGGCTCGATCCCCAGTGTGGCGCATGCAGGAGGCAGCCGATCAGTGATTCTCCATCTCTCTCTCCCTTTCCCTTCCTCTCTGAAATCAATAAAAATATTAAAAAATATAAATAAAAAATAGCCAGGCAGGGAAGGGTGATTGTTAAGACCCAAGAACATTGCCTGTGCTCCTTTTGCTCTCCACGTTACAGAGTGTGGCAGATGCAAAATGCCTCATCAGAGTTCCCCACATGTCCCACGGGGCTGCTGCCGGAGGAGGGTTACAGAGGCAGGGCCCTGTCCACTCCGGGGGTGCTCTGCCCTCCTGGAGAACAGACACTGCATCCCACAGAGACAAGAGAAGTCGCGGGGTGTCTTGGGGTCCCACCTCCCCCTCTCCCACTGGAAAGGTCACTGACCCGAGTGTGTTCGGAGGTGGCCAGTGAGCGCGTCCCGCCGGCGGCAGGCGTAGTTGCAGAAGGGGCATTTGAAGGGCTTCTCCCCGGAGTGCAGCTTGATGTGGCGCAGCAGGTTCCCCTTCTGGGTGAAGGAGGCTCCGCACTGGTTGCAGTGGAAGGGCCTTTCGCCTGCGAGGGAAAGAGAGGTGCCGGGGACTGGCTGTGAGGGACTCTGGAGGCTGAACCCAGCCCCCCCACCCCACCCCTGCCCCACACTGGCTCAGGGGACGGGCTCAGAACACATTTCTGAGAGGCAGGGCTGTGCCACTCATACTGATCCTGCTTAATACAGATCCCTGGGGGCAGTCTGATCCCGGGAAGGTGTGGATGAGGGGAGGCAGGGAGAAGCGCACTAGGCCTGGAACATGGGGCCGAAAGACCCTTGTCACAAACCAAGCCCCATCGGGCTCTCACTGCCGCAGGAGCCCAAGGCCCAAGGAAGCCGAGAAGAGGCTTCTATATTCCGTATTTTTTCTTTATTCATCGATGGGAGGGCCCAAATAATACCCAGGAGTCCTATCCCCATTAGGTATAGGATCCTTCTCTCTTTTTTTAAATCCTCACCCGAGGATATGTTTTCTGGTTGTTATCCTCATCTGAGAATATTTTTTCCCATTGATTTTTAGAGAAAGTGGAAGGGAGTGGGGGGGGGGGGGAGAGACATCAAAGTGAGAGAGACACATCAATTGGTTGCCTCCCGCATGTGTCCCAACCGGGCCAGGGATCGAACCTGCAACCCAGGTACATGCCCTTGACCGGGAATCGAACCCACCACCCTTTGGTGCACAGGCTGATGCTCTCAGGATATGTTTTTTCGTTTGGTTGGTTTTTAAAAATATATTTTTATTGATTTCAGAGAGGAAGGGAGAGGGAGAGAGAGATAGAAATATCAATGATGAGAGAGAATCATTGATTGGCTGCCTCCTGCATGCCCCACACTGGGGATCGAGCCCGCAACCCGGGCATGTGCCCTTGACTGGAATCATACCCGGGACCCTTCAGTCCACAGGACGACGCTCTATTCACTGAGCCAAACCAGCTAGGGCAAGGATATTTTTTAAAAATTAATTTTAGAGAGAGGAAAGAAGAGAGAGAGAGAAACATCTACTGGTTGCCTCCCATATGTGCCCTGACTGGGGATTGAACCTACAACCTAGGTATGTGCCCTGACCAGAATCGAACCTGCAACCTTTCGGTGTATGGGATGATACTCCAACCAACTGAGCCACATGGCCAGAGCTAGGATCCTTCTTGAGGCTACAAGACTTTCCCCTCCCTCACTTCCTCAGAAGAGCATTGCCTTTCTTTATAATAAGAGCTGAAGAAAGTGCCAGGAAAGTATAGGCATTCAGGGAGGCTGAATTTCAACCCTTTTTTCCCCTCCCTCAGCTAGAATATGTGCCAGGAGAGACCCTTCCCTTTCCGAGGCTACCCCGCCCAGGCATGGCCTCCCAGCACGGCCTCTGCCTCTCGGGCCCACCTGGGAGTTCCTCCCTGGTCCCCTGGCTTACTCACCTGTGTGACTGCGCTTATGCACCATGAGCACGTTGGGTCCAATGCAGACCATGCCACAGACATCACATTTGAGCTTGCCATTGGGCAGCCGGATGCCACCAGGGGAGTGAGGCTCTGGCCCACTTCCATCACAGTAGCCCAGGGGCTCCGACAACGAGTCTTCCACGATCACACTATCGTCCTTTTCCAGGAGCCGCTCATCTGGCCCCAGCAGTCTACTCGACTCCTCATCGCTGTACATCTCCACCTTGATGGAGTTGGCTGGAGGGTGGGATGGTGTTTAGGACAGAGACAGGCGAAGGGGAGAGCCTTCCCCAGGCCAGAATGGCACTCCCGAGTCCAGAGGAGTCTCTGAGCCCTGAGGCCTTCAGGCTTCAGAGGAGGCCAATACCCTAGGTGTCCAGAGTGGTGACACCAGGGTCCTGCTGGGACCCGAAGCAACCTTGTCCTCCTACCCCACCGATCAGGCAAATAGGCTTCGAGGGAAAAGCACTGGGGAGAGGAGGAAGCTAAGGGGAGCCTATTTCTCCACTCTCTTGTCATTAAGAAAGATGTCTGACTTGGCCCTGGGCAGGAAGCCAGCAAGTAACAGTGTCAGGAAAACAGTCCTAGAAGTCCGAAGAGACAGGGCTAAAGAGAGAGTAAAACTGGGAGACCGACACGGCCTACATTTTCCTCCCACCCCGTAAGACTGAGCCCCTCTCCTCCCCTCCATCACAACCGGAGGGGGATGGAGGAGGGGGAGCCATTGAGGAGAAAGCTTTGGCTCTAGCTCTGACCTACATTCCTGGCTATTCCAACCATTTGGAGAATGTCACAGATCTGGGGCCAGCTGAGGAGAGGCGGTCCTGGGGACCCTCTGGGCAGGAGACTCAGGGGGGTGATGAGGAGACCCTTCTCATGTCTGTTTCCTGTCTACCTCCAGCTCGTGCCCATTGCTATCGACCTGCTATTCTCACTCCAGACTTTCTCTTTGGGGCCTTTACCTTAATCCCACCCATGCCTCTGTGAATTCCACCCTTGCCTGGCAGTGAGAGTTCATTCTTCTTTCAGAAGTGAGGGAAATCCCAGACACGGAGCTCCTTAGTGATTTTAGAGACTCTGAGCAGGAAACCAGAGGGAGGCAGCGATGGGGAAATGGCTGCCAATGGAAGATGAATCGAGGGCCAACCACAAACAGGGACGCCTTGTGCCAGGCGAGGGAAGGGGGGCGCACTTACCACTGAGTGAGCGGCTGGGAGAAGAGTGCTGGCTGTTGGGGGTGCTCACCGAGGGCCCCACTGGGGCCCCAAGGAACTCCTTCTCCAGAGATGAGTCCCCGCTACCTTAGAGGAGAGAGCAAGAGGGCAGGTGAAGCTGTCGCCATTAGTAACCTGCCTCATCTTTTCAAAACTCAGTTACATGGATCTTGTAGCCATGGACAAGGCCGTGTTGGACGCTGGGCACCATACCTTGTGCCCTGGCCAGCCTGGGTGCCCGGCGCTGACTTCCGCGAGCTCCGTGGCTGGGTCTTGCCCACCCTACCTTTATCTAGGCCTGAGGGGAAGAGCATCACTGCCTGACGTCCGCAGGAAGCAGGGCTGGGGTTGGGCGGGCCGGGGCAGAGAGGAAAATGGGGGCCTCAGCAGGGAGGCGTTCAGGACAGCCGGTTCTTCCCTACTGTTCCTCTCCGGAGCCCCCAACACCAGGTACGGGATCTGCAGGAGGGGCGGCTGGAATTGTCCCTGAATCTAATGATAATAATAGCAATCATAACGATGGCAGCTCACGTGAACTGAGTGCTTACTATGTGCCAGGCAATGTTCATACACCTTAATTGAACTATCTCATTTACAACAACCCAATGAAGTAGGTACCAATATTATCCTAATTTCGCAGGTGAGGAAACTGAGGCACAAAAAAGGCTGCATTACTTGCCCAAGGTTATATAGCCAGTAGTGGTAGAACTGGAAGGTGATCACACAAAAAGAAGTGCCCGTGTCCTTACCCACCACCTACCCAGCCAACTGGGACTCACTGTTTCAGGAGCGGGGAGCTGGGCCCATTAGATTTTCTAAAATTAGCGAAATTTGACTACTCTAGAAAGCGTCCTATCTGATATGACTCCAATCAGATATTTACAACTTGGTATTCCCTTGACAGTGAAATAATCAGTTTATTTTCATTATATTCATTTTAACTTGTTGACAAATTGCATTGTAAAAATGCTTTTTGAGAAGTTCATATATCTTTTAAAAAATCAGATAACACACCTAAAGATATATAAAAAAAATCCCTCCTCCCCACAATCATTTTACACAAATACATAGGTGAAATAAAGCACATGTAGACAAACACACAGACACAGACAAGATCACATATGTAGATACACATACAGGGAACATACCTACTGGGGTAAACATACTCATAGCCTCTACAGTATCTGCTAACATGAACATGCATGGATGTGTGCAGACAGCCCTAAATATGGAAGAGAGAGAGAAAGAGTGAGAGAGAGAGAAACCCTAAAATTCATCCCTAAAATCCACCTATTAGTACTTTACCCAATTTCCCAGCTATGAACATACTTACTTTCACAAAATAAAGATTCCATTATAAAATGGTTGGAGTCTTGGGCCTGAGGCAAGAAATCCGGAAGACACCCTCCTGAGGGATCCCTGTCCAGCTTTGGTCAGTGGGAAGAAAACAACCACTCAGGACTTGGGGACCATTTCCCATTCATCTCCTCTCCTAACAGTCCCACTTCCCGCACGCTCTCCCATCACAGTCTAAGGAAAGTGTTTACCACCTATAGGAAAAGCCTCATGGCTGAAAACCGAGTTTCCCCAGCTGGGGCTCTTTAGACGAGCCATGGTTATCCACAAACGTTGCCCAAATCAGAACCACACCCATATCACAGTGTGAGCATCTCAGAGTGAGAGCGGAGACTTGTAGACCCAGACCCAGTTGTAAAATATGTCATTTAAACTACGGGGAGGGTTTACTGAGGTGAGAAGGGTTGAAAGGGCATCTTCTCATTCCTTTTCAGTCCTTAGTGCTGACTTGCCCTAAATCTTTCGCTGTTAGCCATGGGGAAGAGCAGGGCTCTCTCTGGGCCCTGGCCCTGAGTCCTTGACCCTGAAAGGAGTAGGCGCTCACTGGAAGCCCATTGCTGGTCCCAGCCTACTGGATTGAAGCTGCCTCTTGGGGCCAGAGCCTTGATCTATGGGGAGAAATGTCCTTACAGGGATAGGTAGAGACATTAGGGGGAACATCCTTGTGGCTTTCCCTATTACGGCCTGGGAACAGGAGGAAGAGCAGGTGCCTCCAGGATCACGTCAGTAGTTCGGGAGGCTCTCTGATGCCGCTGTCCTCCCGAGGATCGAGGATCAAGGCCAGAGGGGAAGCAGGCTCAAGTCCACTTCAAGGGGCTAATGCATACAAGTGAACCATTCCAGGGCGTAGACAATCTTTATGGGGCCCCGGGGATCGTGATTTCCAGCGAAAGGGAGAAGGGGACTAGAATCAGATTTGGGAAGTTCAGCAGTTCCCCTCTCAGCCTCAGAAACCCCAGTGAGGGAATTTCAAATGCCCGGGACTCCCAAGAAACCCCAGACTGTCCAAGCCAAGCATTCAGGCTGCTCTCAGGTCTCAGAGACATTTTCCTGGTCAAAGTCATCATCGATTGCCTGGACCCCTGGAGGGCAAAGCCAAATCATGAGGCTCACCTCAGAGGCGCGAGGAGGTGAGTCTGGGGCAGAAAGGCAGGAGGCAGACAGACATCCCCCAAGCTAAGGAGGGAGTCCGCCGCCTGCTCCTGCTGCCCTTCCTCAACCCCTCAGAGTGGCTACTTCTAGGGATGGCCAGGAGGCTGGAGAGCCTCCACACCCCTCTGCCAGGGACCTCGTCCTAACCGCTTCCCCTTTCTTGCCCAGCAGCTCCAAGGTGCCGGGATGCTAGCTGCCGGCAGCGAACAGCGGTCCGGGAGCAGAGAGAGCCGCCCATCCCCGCTCTATTGTGGGGAGGCAGCCGCGGCCCCTCGCATCTCCGTTCCAGGCGGAGGCGTCTGCTGCCCAGGCGCCTCTTCACCTCGACCCTCCGCTACCCATGCCCACCCGGGCCGTCTCTGTCCCGGCATTTCCCCGGGACGGCTCGCGGCGGTCCCCAAGGCCTAATCAAGATGTCACCACGAGCTCCCACTGTCCAAGTCGCAGCCTTCGCTTAGCAACACCAAACGCCCTCTCCCATCCTCGGCGGGCGCGAGGAGGAACGCCCCCTCCCCCGCCACACGCGCGCAGCCCCCATCCCCTGCCTCTCCTCCGTCTCGGGAGTTGTGGCGGCACCGGCTCCCTCGCCCCGGCGCCCCCTCGCCCCCCGCCGCCGACCGCCTTCTGCCTGAACTTACATTATCCTTCCCTGGCCGGTGAGACCCCGGGGTGCGAGCGCGGCCGCCGCCTTGGAAACGGCGAGGGGGTGCGGGTGGTGTGTGCATGTCTGCGTCTCGGTGGCAGGCAGGGGTGAGCCCAGCCACTCACCTTCCAGGAAGCGTGGATTCCTGGAAGTGAGGGGAACCGCCGTCATTTCGCAGGCAGCGGCGGCGGCGGCACGGTGAGCAGGGGCCCACGGCTGCAGCCAGCAAGAGCTCAGCCCAGGGTGTGTGTGTGTGTGTGTGTGTGTGTGTGTGTGAGAGAGAGAGAGAGAGAGAGAGAGAGAGAGAGAGAGAGAGAGAGAGAGAGAGAGAGAACGC